AAGATTTCATATTTTACCTATCAAATATTTTATCTTCACATTCAAGTCAATCTAAACACATAATCATAATCCAAACATACAATCACAACATACAATCACAATTGCAACAAACAACTAAACATACATTCAATGAAAACATACAATCTTAAAATTACAACCCAATGTAAAAATTTATGATTAAATTACAACCCAAATTTAAGCACATAAATTTAGAAATTAATATTTGACTCAATCAATTCATAAAACCACATTTCTTGAATTGTTGGCTCATATGCACACCTAGAGCCTGTTTGGTTCGCAAATTGCTTTTGAGGAGTTGCAGCCAATGGTGAGAGACAACACTGATTCAGATAGAGTGCTGGTGAGGTAACTGACAATGAGTTGGTCTTGTTGAAATCATGTTTCATAAGCAGGATTAGGTTGAGGAAGATCAGGTGCTTGGTTAGGAGAGGGTGCGGGTAGGGGCAGAAAGGGAGAAGGTTGAGAAGGAGCCATCAACATATTTCCACAATCCTCGGCCAATGAGAAAGGTTTTATTTGTCAAAGCCAGAGAAGGTACTTGGTGTCGCTGAGCTTGATGAAATGGGAGGAGTGGGGACCAGGAAGAGAGGAGGAGGAAGATTGAGAGGCCATGAGGGTTCAACTGGAGAGAGAGAGAGAGAGAGAGAGAGAGAGAGAGAGAGAGAGAGAGAGAGAGAGGCCATGAGGGTTCAGCTTTGTGTAAATATTACAATATTTATAATTGCACAATAAAGATATAAATAGTAAAAGCCTTGAATGGAAGTAATTACAAAATATTTGGAGAGCAAGTCAAACTATTGTGATTAAGAAGAATCTGTTTCAGATTCTCTGAGAGAGAGAGAGAGAGAGAGAGAGAGAGAGAGAGAGAGAGAGAGAGAGAGAGAGAGAGAGAGAGAGAGAGAGAGAGAGAGAGAGAGAGAGAGAGAGGCCATGAAGGTTCAGCTTTGTGTAAATATTACAATATTTATAATTGCACAATAAATATATAAATAGTAAAAGCCTTGAATGGAAGTAATTACAAAATATTTGGAGAGCAAGTCAACTCTTGTGAGTAAGAAGAATCCGTTTTAGATTCTTCTCCCTTGATAAGTGTGTGTGGTTTAACAGTAAAGCCCCATTCATCTCAAAGACCATTTTCCTGAAAAGCAGTCATCCTTGCATTTGCATTCATAATTGCTCTGTCATGTTCCATTGCTATATATTCAAAGGTGAAAATGTCACGAGGTGGACCAATAACTTCACGTTCTTATAAGGATTGGAAATCAGGTATCTCTTACTCTGAACTCCTTGAATTGACTAATGGATTCTCTGTGGACAACCTGATTGGTTCAGGAAGATTTGGTTCTGTTTACAAAGGAGTAATCCCTAGTGATGGAACTGTTTGTGCAAATAATCTCGCAGCAGTATATTCGCTTTGTCATTCTTCAACCTTTGATCTTCCTTCTCTCTCTTCCTCGATTCCTGTAAAAAAAAACTAGAGTAATAGATCACACCCGGAAGGTGTTGGCCATAGACCCTCCGATGGCTAAGTTAGTTCGATTGAATCTAGGTGAAACAATAGCTAAAAAAAAGGGTAAGGAGATTTCTCTAGGATGAGAACCGAGTGGATGGAGCCGTGTGTGGTGGCCAAAACCATGTATTTAAAATATGGAGAGAAGAGAATGGTGTGGCCGGCGGCTGTATTGGCTTCGCCGGCGGCTAGGGAGAGAGAGATTGAGAGTTTCAATTATTTTCTCGAGTTGTAGAATTAGGTTTTGAAGTACCTTAAATGATGAATGAAGCCATCTATTTATAGGAGCCTCGGAGGCTAAGGTTTCATAGAGAATAAAACTTAGGAAGGAGTTTATTCTTTCCCCAAATTGTAGATATTGAGTCCATTAGGGATTTGATTGGGATTTAAATCTCTTAATTTGATGATGATTATATCTCCTTATTAAATAATATCTAAATTAATGATATTATCTTTTTAAATAAAGATAATATTCTATAATTAAGATATTATCCCTATTAATTAATTGGCCAAATAAATTGGTTCAATTAATTAATTTAAGGGATATTCTTCTTTTCACGTGGCGTGCTATAATTGGAGACGAAAATATTTGCTCCCATTGGAACAATAGTTGCTGTTAAGGTGTTAAACCTTCAACAACAAGGATCTTTAAAGAGTTTCATTGATGAATGCAAAGCTTTAAGAAGTATAAGGCATCATAATCTTCTAAATATCCTAATTGACTGCTCAAACTCTATAATTTGGGTAATGAGTTCAGAAGTCTAGTTTTCGCGTATATGGATAATGGAAGTCTAGACTCATGGTTGTATCCAAGAGCTGAGGAGCAATGTCAAATTAAGAGATTGGGTGTTATCCAAAGACTGAACATTTCTATTGATATTGCTTCTGCTTTAGATTATCTCCATTACCATTGTGAAACAGCCATTGTTCATTGTGATCTAAAGCCAAGCAATGTTCTTCTTGATGAGGATATGGTAGCCGATGTTGGTGACTTTGGTTTAGCAAGGTTCCTTTTGGAAACATCAAATGATCCCTCCCAAAGTCAAACACTATGTCAACTGGGTTAAAGGGTTCCATAGCTATATTCCCTCCAGATACGAGTTTCTACGTTTCTCGTTATTTTCTTCCTAAAGATTTATTACTAAGCCAACTTAAGTCCCTATTGAAAGGATAATAATTCCTTCTTTTTCTTTTACTGGAAAAGAAGTATAAATATGAGAACATTTCCAAATAAGATCTAATCTCTAGTCATTTGATAGTGTGTTGTCGTCGGATCAACTGCGCCAAAATGGATTCAGCTGCATCCTCAACTTGTGATCTTACAAGTGCACGAGCCGTTTGGTAGTATAACATATGTAAGTGCGCGGTCGATCCCACGAGGATTGATGATAGATTGATTCAATTCGATTCCCTGCACTAAACAGAAATAGAAACAAGATTTAAGATGATTGTGATAAGTACAAGGATTGAAAACAAGAAATAAAGAAAATAACTAACTCAAGCAAATAATTCCTAAGTTCAATTTAGACTAATGGATTGATTTTAGCAAAAGTATGATTAAACCATGGTGTATGGCCCTAACCTTGTATTCCTAATTCCCTAATTTGATCATCTGTTGTCTAACCTAAAATTAAGCATTAGGAATCCATTAAGCATAGAAGAACATTTTAAACAACCAAGTATGTATCTAATCCCGATTGTCGAATTCTATACACAATCTTCCTATTCATAGTTCAATTTGAATTAAAGCATGACGTCTACTCTTAATTCAAACCAAAATAGCTAACATGCAAGCCTTAATGGTGATCAATCATTCAAACTAGCATATTAACTTATAAGCATAATGAATAAGAACAAGAACCATAATTGAAACTTGGAAACTAATTAAACTTGAATACTTAAGAAAAGAATTTACATTACAATGAAAAATAAAGAAGAACTCAGAAAAACTTTAAAGAAAAATTTAGCAAAAGAATTTTGCTACAACAATTGAGAACTAGAAAGGAAAACTAAGAGAATTTGAGGGAGAGAAGGGAGGGGAGCTCTAGAGAAGTATTTGAGAGCTCCCCCCCTTGGGGTGTGTTTACAAGCTTGGAGAACCTCACTATTTATAGGCCTAGGGGAAGTGAAAATCTGATATATACAATTGAGTTTATTAATCACACTCACTTCACCTAAAACACAATTGCATTTGAAAATAATTCCTCTTGTCTTTAGGCTTAGGGCAGCTCCCATCTTCTTTTAGTTCCTTTGGCTGCTGCAAAACTCCACTCCAATAATAAGTACTGAATATGCTTCACCTAATTTTTCCACAATCAATAACACCTCATGCATATATGTCATGCATGATAATGCATTGCTGTCTTCTTTTGGGCTCGTTTTGGGCTTGTTCCTCCATTCATACAATTCTGGAAAAATATAGATCTTGAAATCTTTTGTCTTATCTTTCCATCCATATGCAGCCCAGCTCAAGGAAAAATCAGAAAGACCTTCAAATGCCATTTTGGCCCAGTAATGTAGATGCTGTCGATTTTGACCTGATTTTGACCTTAAACTGCCAAAACTTGCATAACTTCCTCTAAAAAACTCGGAATCATAAACCGTAAAATGCTCCAGAAACTAGACTTCCGCATCTTTCCAATGATATATGGCTCATATCTGGTTCTTCCTGAGCAAGTACAGTATAATCTGTGAATTTGACTGATCCGCAGACACAATTGTGGAGCTAACTTGACTCCAAAATGCATTAAATGAGTCCCAAAGCTTAATACACCGAAACAAATATAAAAGAGATTAAAAGAACAAGTTTAACTCAAAACCATAACCAAATTATAAGTTAAAAGGGTACAAAATAATATGTAATTATGCACTGATCATAGTGACACTTTAGTATATGTATATGTATATAATGGTAAAGTATGGCATTGGAGGCCAAATTTCCATACTGGGAGATATTATTAGCTATGGAATATTGTTGCTAACAATGTTCATTGGAAAAAGACCTACGGATGACGAGTTTAGATATGGTCTAAGTATTCACCAATTCACTAACGCGACATTGCCTGACCATGCCTTTGATGTAGCGGATGTAAGAATTTGCATTCCAAATCAAATACTGAGATGGTCTTCTAATCACTTAAGGATATATATATAGTTCTATGCCAATTAGGAGTACATAATTTATCTGTCCTTTAGACTTTGTATAAGTGATTGTTTTGATTAAATACAAAGTGCTTCAGGTTTCCTAATTTCATGTGGATTGAAACACCTAATTTTGTTGGCTTAAGGAAAGCTTAAGATGTCCTTGATGAGGAGGAGTCTTAAGCGAAACCTATAAAAGGATGCCCCTGTGCTATCAGCTAAATACACACTCAATATTATTCTCACCTAATCTAGAGAGAGATAAAGAGCCAGATAGCAAAGAAGACTTCTTTACAGCAAAATAACAAGACAACTTCCTGTGAACATCATGTCTGATCAAGGTATGTGTTTAGTTCATATAAACCTGTTAAGACTTACATGTGGTATCAGAGCATTATGTTGTATGTTCTTGACCTAATTACAAGTAAACCAAATCAAGGCTCGCAAGAAAAGGCTAAAAATTTGGTTTTAATACATATGTTACAGTATGATATAGTTTAAAGAAAACACCAGTCATTATAGCATGCATATTTCGATTATTATACATTGCATATCTTATTTGATAAGGTATGAGATAAGCCTAAAGTTTCCTACTTAAATCATGCTTGAAAGACTAATGATCAATGTTTAGGGAGGATTTTGGATCAATTGAGTGAGCCACAACAACTCAATTGGTACAAGAGATTCTTCATTCAAAGTTTTCTGATCAAAATTGCATTGCACTCAACCTTTCTTGTACAATTATCTGTCCGTAGATGTGAATCGTGCAAGAAGGGCTGTTTGTAATGGAATAGTATGGAAAATAGATTGTATGAACAAACAATGAATATTCCTCTGTCCACAGACGTGGAGATGTTCCTTGTTTCAAGATTGCGCATACATATCTGTTGTTCTGAGTACTATGGAACATGTTGACTTGTAACCCACAGGTGCAAATCAATAATGTTTAGTTAAAGATATTGGGGATGTTTTATTTATGTTTTCTTTAAAATTACAGTGAGTGCTTCAAGTTACAACTCCATCGAAATCTTGACTGGATCAAACTATCTGAAGTGGAAAGAAGAGTTGGAAATTTCACTAGGGCTAATGGACTATGACATTGCTCTAAAATGGGATGCGCTTGAGGAACTTGCTGCAAATGCGACTACAGATGTCAAAATGAGATATGAAAAATGAGAAAAGGCTAACAAGATGGCTATACTGATTTTGCCAATAACCATGACACTATCCTTGAGAGGTAGCATTCCAAGATCAGAAAATGCAAAAGAATTCCTTGATGCCATTGATATGAAATTCAAAGAAAATGAGAAAGAAGAGAAAAGTACCTTGTTGAACAAATTAACTGAGATGAAGTATGATGGGCGAGATTGTGTGAGAGCTCACATAATGAACATGGCAGACATTGCACACAAACTGAAGGAACTAAACATGACTATAGATGAGGACAAGATGGTGCATTTTGCCTTGAACTCACTTCCAAAGGAGTTCAAAACTCAACATATGTGGCTCAGAAGGAAAGTTGGACTTTGGATGATCTTATAACCATTAGTGTTCAAGAAGAGCACAACATCATAATGGAGAGAGGTCAAAAAGCTATGAACATGGTTCAAGACTATCGTGGCAAGTAGAACAAGGATAAAAAGACAGTTTTTGGAGAAAAGAAATACCAAGACAGTACCAAAACAAAATCAAGAAAACCAACTGGACTGAAATGCTTCTTTTGTAGAAAGTTTGGACACATGAAAAGGGAATGCAAGAGGTATAAGAGGTGGTTAGAGAAACAAAAGAACAAAGGTAAGAATGAAAATGTTTTGGTCTGTTTTGAATCAAATATGATTGAGGTTTCAGTTGACACTTGGTGGTTAGACAGTGGTGCTTCAATACACATTGCTAATTCTTTGCAGGGGTTCATAACCAAGAGGCAACCAAACAAGGATGAGGTAAAGGTATTCGTGGGCAATGGAGTCAAAGTACAAGTGGAGTTCATTGGAGCAGTTAGGATTCAATTAGATTCTGGTTTTGTTTTAGATTTGGTAGATGCAGTCTATGTTTCTTCTATGACAAGGAACCTTATCTCAATTGTTAGGCTTGTTAAATCAAAACTCACTTTGAGATTTGATGAATTTGGTTTTTCGATTTTCAATAATAAAGAACTAGTTTGAAATAGAACTCTTGTTGGAAACATCTTTCAATTGAACTGCAGACCACCTCAAATGGTTATGAACATTGCAAATACAAAACAAAAGAATCAGACATCATCAAAACTTTGGCATAAAAGGCTTGGCCATATTTCAAAAGAAAGAATGAACTCCCTTTGTAGAAAGTTTGGACACATGAAAAGGGAATGCAAGAGGTATAAGAGGTGGTTAGAGAAACAAAAGAACAAAGGTAAGAATGAAAATGTTTTGGTTTGTTTTGAATCAAATATGATTGAGGTTTCAGTTGACACTTGGTGGTTAGACAGTGGTGCTTCAATACACATTGCTAATTCTTTGTAGGGGTTCATAACCAAGAGGCAGCCAAACAAGGATGAGGTAAAGGTATTCGTGGGCAATGGAGTCAAAGTACAAGTGGAGTTCATTGGAGCAGTTAGGATTCGATTAGATTCTGGTTTTGTTTTAGATTTGGTAGATGCAGTCTATGTTTCTTCTATGACAAGGAACCTTATCTCAGTTGTTAGGCTTGTTAAATCAAAACTCACTTTGAGATTTGATGAATTTGGTTTTTCGATTTTCAATAATAAAGAACTAGTTTGAAATAGAACTCTTGTTGGAAACATCTTTCAATTGAACTGCATACCACCTCAAATGGTTATGAACATTGCAAATACAAAACAAAAGAATCAGACATCATCAAAACTTTGGCATAAAAGGCTTGGCCATATTTCAAAAGAAAGAATGAACTCCCTTTGTAGAAAGTTTGGACACATGAAAAGGGAATGCAAGAGGTACAAGAGGTGGTTAGAGAAACAAAAGAACAAAGGTAAGAATGAAAATGTTTTGGTTTGTTTTGAATCAATATGATTGAGGTTTCAGTTGACACTTGGTGGTTAGACAGTGGTGCTTCAATACACATTGCTAATTCTTTGCAGGGGTTCATAACCAAGAGGCAGCCAAACAAGGATGAGGTAAAGGTATTCGTGGGCAATGGAGTCAAAGTACAAGTGGAGTTCATTGGAGCAGTTAGGATTCGATTAGATTTTGGTTTTGTTTAGATTTGGTAGATGCAGTCTATGTTCCTTCTATGACAAGGAACCTTATCTCAGTTGCTAGGCTTGTTAAATCAAAACTCACTTTGAGATTTGATGAATTTGGTTTTTCGATTTTCAATAATAAAGAACTAGTTTGAAATAGAACTCTTGTTGGAAACATCTTTCAATTGAACTGCAGACCACCTCAAATGGTTATGAACATTGCAAATACAAAACAAAAGAATCAGACATCATCAAAACTTTGGCATAAAAGGCTTGGCCATACTTCAAAAGAAAGAATGAACTCCCTTTGTAAAGAATCAGTGCTGCCACCAATTGACTTTAATGGCATGGATTAAATCTGTGTTGAATGCATAAAGGGAAAATTGACAAACTTGAGAAAGAAATGAGCAATAAGAAGTGAAAATCTATTGGAATTAATTCACACAGATATCTGTGGTCCTTTTCCAAATCCAACACATGAAGGTTATAAGTATTTCATCCCTTTCACAGAAGATCACTCGAGATTTGGGACATGTCTACTTAATAAAAGAAAAGTCTGAAGCATTAGATATGTTCAAGGTTTATAAAACATAAGAAGAAAGGCAACTAGAATTGACAATTTGTCATGCTTCAAACATATCCAAATGGCCAAGTCAAGAGTGGGTTTGCAGGAGTTAGTTTTTTGTTAGTTAGTTTTTGGGATTGGGCGGGAAAGGGAGAGCATTGTCGTACAAATGTAGCAAAGGTGTTTGGTATTAAGTCAGTGAGAAAGAAAATAAAGTTTCAGGCCGAGGCTTCCCTGCAGCAAGAAAGCCCCTTTATTTTTCATTGTGATCATTCAAGACCACCATGAATGATCACCTTCACCAGTCGGGTAGGTGCATATATACAATGTTCATTGGCATAGTATGGCTTTTCTAATCAGCCAGTTTAGTAGTTTTCTTTTAGAAAATGTGTATACAATGTTCATTGGCATGGTATGGTTTTTCTAATCAGCCAGCTAAGTAGTTTTCTTGTATGTCTTTATTCAATTCGTTATATGAGATCACTACAACAAAATGTTGCTTTAGCGACGATTTTGCCAATGAGGAATTATATTTTCTCGTAGAATTAGCCTTTCAGAGAGGAAAATGTTAAATTCTCACAAAATATGTCTTAAATTTCTTTTTCAAATTGGAGCAAGCTATAGCGACGACATGTTGGATGCAGCGACAAACAATGTGGACGCTGTAGATTTTTGCAGGGGTCTTTTTGTTTCAGCAGCCTGACGAATGGGCTTGGGCTGTCGTAAGAAGAAAACGAACCAAGATTCCCCAAGTGTCTGAGTTCAGAAACCAAGCTCCCAAAAGAGTTTTTGAAGAGCTTGATGCGACTATAGAAAAACACTCTCAGGTTCTTTTCACCAATAGCGAAGTAGACATAATAAGTGATGAGTGGCTTAGCTTGAGTAGCTTGTGGCATGAGAGCTAAGCTTTCACAAGTTTAGCAATTAGAGAGAGAGATAAGCGTGAGTTTCTTACAGAGAACAAAGGGTTAAAATGGAACAGAGGAAGATTAGGGAGATTTCTTTCTTAGAGAAAGGAGAAAACAAACGATGAAGAAGATTGGGTGGCTTGAGTAAATTCTCAGTTGCTTGACAAAGCTTGGTCAGGCCTTAGATGGTGATTTTGTTGGGTAGAAGAAGGTCCCTTTTATAGGCACAAAGAATCCCTAATTTTGTCTAACCTCCTTCTTCCTTTTTCTTTGCTTCTTTCCATTCAATCCTATTCGGTGAAATTTTCCTATCCAAGGCGCCTGGGTAAGGAGCCCTTTGTGGTTCCAAGGTTTTGGCACAGCTGGTCTTCTCCATAGGGGTGAAGCGTCTCCCACTTTCTTCCTGGTTTTCCTACGGGAGCTAACAAAGGAAAGAAAAATGGGTAGAGTCTTTTGTCCAATGGGTATTCATCATTCCTTTATGGATTTCCTTTGGTCCCTGCCATGGCTCTTCGTTGACCATCTTGTAATTCCGACGAGGGTGAAGCACGATGCCAGATTTTCCTACAAGTTGCTGGGCTGGGCTTGTGGGTACAATATTGGTTTATTAACATATTATTTCCAACGCCTAATGGATTTTCGTCAAGTTGCTGGAAACAGCCTTTTAATTTTAGGCATTTTATTGATGCTAGCTTTGTCTAAGTGCTATGGCAGACTACTAGATATCCTCCTAAGGCATTGGATCATTTTCTCCCCTCTCTCATGCTAACCCATGTGTTTGGGCTCAAGAAATGGGCTTGAGTTTTGGGGCTCCCAAGCAGCCCAAAACTTCCATTTCTTGGCTCATCAATGGGCCTCATGAAAGCTCGTTACCATCCATACCACAACCCACTCAAGCAAGCCCCGGACATTTTTCGTGGCTTGGGCCCATTTAAGCTTGTAGCATGATTAGGTGTAATAATAATGCTTTTTCACTTGGCATTGCATGTCGCTTGGTGTGCTTGAATTTTGTCACTTTGAAGAGGGATATGACGCTTGACGGGATAATTAGCTTGGGCTCATAAAGCCAGTGCTTATTTCAACTCTTAGCATGAGAGATTGCATATTTATTTGGCAAGGCACGTGGTCGTGGCTCGTGCAAGCGTGCATGATGAATTTCGCGTGCTCCGAACCGGGTCTTTACTTAATAAGGCATTGCGCTGGGTTGGGAATTCATTTGGGCCGAACAGTGAATTTTTGGGCCTCAACAATTTTCATAGCTGGAATTTTTGAAAATTCCCTCCAAACTTATAGTGACAAACATTATATAATCCTCGCAATAGAAGTCTTTTAACGAGGAACTAATTTCCTCACAATATGTGTCCAAAATTATTTTCACTTTTTATTAACGAGGAAATAGTGTTTTCCTCGTGGAAAGTGTAGCGGGAATTTTTGACAATTCCCTTCAAACCTATAGCGACAATCAATATATAATCCTCGCAATAGAAGCATTTTAAAGAGGAATTAATTTCCTTGCAGTACATCTACCAAATTTTTTCACCATTTATTAACGAGGAAATATTTTTTTACTCACTAAAAGTGTAGCAAGAATTTTTGACAATTCCCTCCAAATCTATAGTGACCAACAATGTATAATCCTTGCAATAGAAGCCTTTTAGTGAGGAATTAATTGCCTCGCAATATGTCTCCCACATTATTTTCACAATTTCTTAAGGAGGAAATATTTTTTCCCTCACTGAAAGTGTTAGCGGGAATTTTTGACATTTCTCCCCTAACCTATAGCGACAAACAATATATAATCCTCGCAATTGAAGCTTTTTAACGAGGAATTAATTTCCTTGCAGTTTGTCTCCCACATTATTTTTCACTTTTTTTAAAGTACCACAATTTTTGGCAAAATTAAAATAGGATTGTTAGGAAAAAAAAAAGTTTAAATTTTGTTATTACATTATTTATTTTAATTCAAAATTAGATTTTTAGAGCTTTAGGGTGAAAATAATGTCACAATGAGTTTATAGGATTTTCATCTCCTTCAGAAATTTGGCCTTATCAGATTATGACACGTGTCCCTGTCTTATTATTTTTTGTTTTTATCTTAAACAATGCATAACAAATTAAATAAAAATCACAAAAATACAGTGAAAATTGCCACAAACTCCTTACGAAATAGTTATCCATTATGTAGATCTAAAATCATAATTCCACATATTTTAATTAATGGGAGATCATTGAATCAAAGAAACAATAGTGTATTGAATAGAATGTTTTGATTTGTCTATGAAGAAAGTTAAGTTTTTATTATTGCTTTGTATTTTTATAATTTATAATTATATTTTTTGAGCTTTAAAAGGAGAGAATATCACAAGGAGTTTATAGGAATTATCAGTGTATTTTTGGGATTATTTATTATGTCATTTTCTTGTAATTTATTGTGTTATAGATGTAAACAATTCGTAAGAAATTAAATTAAAATCAGAAAATACACTAAAAATTTCTACATACTCCTTACAACATAGCCTTCAATTATGGAGATCTAAATTCAGGATTCCAAATATTTGAGTTAATGGTAATCAATGGATCAAAGAAACAAGATTATAAGGTGGTATAATGTTTTGATTTGTCTATGAATAAAATTGGGTTTTTGTTATTACTTTGTATTTTTATGATTCAAAATTAGATTTTGGGAGTTTTAAGATGAATAAAATGTCACAAGGAGTTCCTAAGAATTTTGGTGTATTTTTCTGATTTGCAATTTATTTATTATGAATTTTAGAATTTAAATTGTAAGGAAATAATAAGAAATATAAAATTTTGACATGTGTTAGCTTTTTAAAGGCTGTCTGTCAGTATTTATGACATGTGGCCGTATAACATGGTGACATGTGTCCTTGTGTTGTTATTTATTACTTTTATCTTAAAGAATTCATAAAATTATTTTAGCATGAGCGCCTTTTTTTCACAAAATTTTCATTTCGCGGTTTTATTCCTTCGAAATTGCTCTCTCTCTCTCTCTTTCGTCCCTAACCTAACCACAAACCCTCTCTCTCTCTCGCCCTCTCCGACCCCAAATTCTCTACCTCTCTCTCCAACTCAAACCCTCCATCCTCATAACCATACACAGCAGTCCTTCACAACCTTTGATGCAGCACCACACATTCCAAATGAAGCCTCAAGATTGAATCGTACATGCCAGCATTCACCAGCTAACAAAGACCAAATATGACTCAACATATGCTCAGCATATTCTCTTCCCAAACGGCTACCTTTGCTGGTCCTTATCCATTAGTCCCTTCTATCCCATTCTAGAATGTTTGTAAAAGCTATGCATTCATTTATTCATTGTATAATACATAGAGTGAAAATATATAATACAAAAACTTTTTATTGTCTTCTCTGCCTCGTCTTTGTCTCTGCATTCATTTTCTCTTTACATCCTTCTCTTCCTTTTCAAACTGATGGTTCTGAAAACTGATGGGGAAGAATTTGAACCATGTATCTCTTTGTTCTCAACCTCTGACAGCCTCCATGTCATGTGAATTTCCTTCCTCCCTCCTCAATTTATTTATGTCATATTGACAAATAATATAACCCCAAAATCCCAAAACCCAAACCGCTGCTTTCCATCCATATGGGTCTCAGCTCTTTGGAAAGGTAAAAGGCAGGGGCGGAGCCACACTGGGACCAGTGTGGTCCCGGGCCCCCACTCAAGTTTTTTTATATTTTAAAAGTAATATACTGTTATGTATTTGTATATTTATATTATTTCAAATACTTTATGTTTTGATATGTACTCACATGTATTGTAGCGGACTTATTAATATTAAGGCACAAGGATGTAGTTCAAATTGCGCCCTTGCTCAGCTAGTAGTGATGCACTCCAGGTGTACAGATTACCTTATTTCCATTTTTAAGTAAATGTCTTTGTCCTTTGACTTTAATTTATTTTTATATTACTCCATTTACTTAAGTTTACAATGTAAATAAGGAAGTAACCCCTATTTGAATTCAAATAAAAATACTAGAAAATCAAATTCTCACCAAGTCAAAATATGAAAAATCGGTTTTAGTGTAAAATACGATTAAGGCTAAAAATGATGGCTCATTAAGTCAATATATACTTCATACTAAAATCCCATAAATCAAGTTTTCTTATTTCATGTGTAAGGAATAAAAGCCGCCAAAAATTATCTTGAGAAAATGATTATTCCGAAAAACCATTTTTTATACTTAGTCAATATTTTTTCATGTATGATATGAATGCATAAAGGGGCCTAAGGTTGTTTTTAATTTGGGAAATTTTGATTTTTTTTTCCTTTCTATTGGATTTAATGGGGAAAAAGCTTTAAAGATATTTGCTAAATCACTACTCTTTGTCTATCTCTTGCATTTTTCTTGCTTAGAATGTATTTGTCTATCCCTTTGTCGAGAACAAATATGATTGCAACCAATAAGCGATATAATTCTTGACATATGTGATATATATACACTATTTTTTGTATGTATTATGAGTTCAAATTTTTGATTCTTTATACTTTGTAAGAGGCCCCCGCACACATGAAATCATGGCTTCGCCACTGGTAAAAGGTATGCTTTGATTGTTTTTCTTAGTATTTTGAAGGGTCAGAGGGTTGGAATGGTTCTGGGTTTGATTATGTTGGAGGTAATAATTTGGTGGTGGTCCTAAACCCGAGTCCGTAGGCAATCGGGCCTCCAGATCCGAGGTTTGAAGTTGGGGCTGTGTATGAGACCTCGAAAGAGGTCTTTTCAATGCCAAAGGTTCAACCTTTGTCTTTTGGTGGCCAAGTGGTGGGGATAAGTGCAGCTTCCTTGGGCTTCCTTGGTAGTTCAAATATATTTGCTTCTTTTGGAACTTTAATTACTATTTAATATATATTGTTCTGCTGAATTGATCGTGTAATTTGACACTCAAGCTTTAATTTTAGAAGCAAAACAAGGTGTCTATTTTGGTGTTTTTGCTGTGCTCATCTCTAATGCATGTGGGGAAAAGAACCCAAGATACAACTTTTTGGTTTTCCCATTTTTGTTTGTTAAACTGACATACATATCATCTCCAAGTTAAACTGACTAGCAAGATGTTTAATTTACTTTCTTTCTAATACAGCATAAGTCATGTAAGATTATTACAAAAAGGGATTGATAGATTGACAGACCCAATACAAGATTTCTGGTTTTGTTTATGTTAATTCATGTAAGATTATGAATATTTTTGAATATGCATACTGCAGGGGAATATGGGTTGATGAGTATATGAGGCATTGGGGGGGTTTAAAACCTTAAAGGCATACTTTAGGAAATAAAAACTCAATGGCTCTAAAAGGAAATGCCCACTTGGAAATTCTTTACCTCTAAAGAAAATAATTTACTTAAAAAGATGGTGAGCATGATTGGTGACTAACAAATTAGGCCTAATATGATAGTTAAAGATGGTTTATGCTTGAAAAGGACTCTGTTTTTATGTCTTTTGACTTTCTGATTTTCTGCTTTCTGTTTATCAGTTGTGGTAGCTTAGTTTGTTTCTTTTTTCCCTTCTCTGTTGGCTTAGGTTTCTGTTCTGTTTTCATGGGCCTGTTTGGGCCAATTGGGTTGTATCTGTTTCATCATTTATTTTCTCTAATTTAACTTCTTCTCTTATTGTTGTTCATCCTCAAACTTAGAGAAAGAAAAGTAGTTTGGTTGGTTGGTTGGATTGAGTTTCATTGATTTGGGGCCTTTAAGCAAAGAAGGCATGCAAATGTGTGAAATTATGACCTTGTCAAATACCCCCAAACTTAGATTTTGTTAGTCCTCGAGCAAAACAAAATAAAACTACAACTTAGGAAACAGGAAATAAGCAACTAGCCTTCCAAACAATATCCTCAAAGAATCACGAACGTATTTGGTTCCAAAGAAACACAACAATCACAATCTAAGTTCCACACATGATTCACGAGAAAGCAAAGCTCACAATGACACCCTTAAGTGTAGTGTGTGAATGCCAAATCAGAACAACCCCTGCCACTCAAATAAGTACTTGTGCACACTTAGAGCAAAATCAAGAATTCCGAACCCCATAAGCTCATTATCCAATCTGCTCTCCACAATAATACCATGCAACACCAAGGATCAAAAGGGCTTTACAAGGGTAGTAATGAGGTTCAGGGTAGTGGTAGAATGAAAGAAGGGAGATATACAATATTTTGAGCACAAGCATAAGAGATTACTGAACTTTGTAACAAGCAAGGAATACATACATGAGCAGATTTTCAACATAATTTCAGCATCTTCAAATGTGTTTATTTGGCCTAATTTTATGGCTCTTTACCCTAGATCACCATGATCTTCTCTTTTATAACACCCTAGGGCCGTGACTACATTGGTCACACTTCATTACCTCTTTTGATTAGTTACCAATACCCCCAAACTTATTTCTTTTCAACACTTGGGTTATGGCACTATTGATTCACTTTTGCTCCAAATCCTTGCATTCTTTATAACTCTCTTTTAAGGACAACTTTAATTGCTCAAAGAATAAGTAAGAATAAGAAAACAGAGGGTTCATTATGGTAAGAATGGTTTACACAAAGAAAGGCTTAACGTAGGCTCAAATGGGTTGACTAGGGATGAATAAATGTAGAGGGATGGTTAAAGGCTCAAGCGGTTCAAACATGGCCTGAATCACTTCTAAAGCATTGTATGGCAGCAGAATGTCTCAAGAGATATTCAAATAAGTTCTAGAGTACAAAACCAAGATCATGAGAGAAGTGGAACTGCATAACGTCTCCAAGTAGCAAGAAATTGGACTAACTTGGCAAAGTGCTCAATAAGTGCAAGGATGGCATGCAAGATATTGTTAACTCAGAACCACACAAAGTTTTTAAACAATGACTATCAATTTATGAGAAACCATATTAGTATTAAATCCAAGTCTTATCATAGGTGTTTGGAAGGATAACGAAACAACACTCAAAATCCTGCGTTTTTAGACACTAAACACACTAAAAAAAATTTAAATTTTGACAATAAAACACATAACCAAATCCTTCCCCCCAAACTTAAATGAAACATTGTCCTCAATGTTTAGAATATAAGAACATGTAATGCCTCATAAATGAAAGGAAAGAAGATAAGGAAAAGACATAACCAAAGGTTAAAGTTCAGAAAAACTCCCCTTTTAAGCGATTAGGACGTAAGCAAGCTCCTTGCAGGTTCTATCTTCTCCTCGACACTTTGAGTTGCCTCCCAAGAAGTGCTATGTTTTATGTCTTCAGCTGGACGATACCTGCCTTTAAGCTTCACTAGGGTCAATGGCATGGAGGGATACATCCTTCACTACATGCTTCTCAAAACACTCATAGTATGGCTTTAAGCGGTGTCCATTCACTTTGAATTCATGTCCTGTCTTTAAACTTTGAATTTGGACTGCACCATAGGGAAAAACATTAGTAATAACAAAAGGACCAATCCATTTAGAACGCAACTTACCCGGAAACAAACGAAGGCGAGAGTTGAAAAGTAACACTTTCTACCCCACAGAAAACGTTTTACTACGAATCATCTTATCATGGGCAACCTTTGTTTTCTCCTTGTAAATATGAGCATTCTCATAAGCTTCAGTCCGAATTTCCTCAAGCTCATTCAATTGCAATTTCCTACGAAGTCCAGTGGCATCAATGTTTATGTTGAAAGTCTTCACTGCCCAATGTGCACGATGCTCCAACTCAACTGGAAGATGGCATGGTTTCCCATAAGTGAGCCGAAAAGGAGACATTCCAATTGGTGTTTGTAGGCAGTACGATATGCCCACAATGCATCATTCAAACGCAAGCTCCAATCCTTTCGAGTTGGTCCAACTGTCTTTTCCAAGATTTGCTTGATTTCCCAGTTGGAAACTTCGACTTGTCCACTTGTTTGGGGATGATAAGGTGTTGAAATCTTATGTGTGACATTATACTTCTTAAGCAGTGCCTCTATGGTCCGATTACAAAAGTGAGAGTCCCCATCACTTATAACTACTCGTGGCATTCCAAATCTTGCAAATATGTTAGTTTTAATAAAATCTGCAACCACTTTGGAATCATTGGTACGGGTGGCTTTTGCTTCCACCCATTTCGAAACATAATCCACAACAAGTAAGATATAATTAAAACCATGTGAGGAAGGAAAAGGGTTCATGAAGTCAATGACCCAAACATCAAATATCTCAACAAAAAAGATAGGGGTTTGCGGCATTTGATCTTTTGCACCTATATTGCCCATTCTTTGACAATGATCACAAGTCATACAAAAAGTTCTAGCATCCTTAAAGATAGTAGGCCAATAAAATCCACATTCTAAAACCTAAAGTGTTGTGCATTGTGTACCAAAGTGACCCCCACATGCATAAATGTGACGGAAGGTTAAAATTGAATTAAACTCAGAATCATGCACACATCTACGAATAATTTGATCAGGGCAATATTTCCACAAATAAGGGTCATCCCACACATAAAACCGTGCCATTTTTTTAAGTTTATTGCGTTGGTTCCTAGTTATGGTGCTTGGAACTTGTTTAGACACAATATAATTCACAATATCAGCATACCATGGCTCACTTACCTCAATGGTCAGCAATTGTTCATCTGGGAATGCCTCTGGAATAGGTAGAAGGTCTTCTTCATGTACCAAACGGCTCAAGTGGTCAGCCACTACATTTTCACATCCTCTTTTGTCCCTAATTTCCATGTCAAACTCCTGAAGAAGAAGCATCCAGCGAATAAGCCTTGGTTTGGCTTCTTTCTTTGTGAGTAAGTACTTCAAAGCTGCATGGTTAGAGTAAATTATAACTTTAGTACCAAGTAAATAAGAACGAAACTTATCTAAAGCAAACATAACAGCAAGAAGTTTTTTTTTCAGTGGTGGAGTAATTCAATTGAGCATCATTCAAGGTTCGGGATGCATAGTAGATGACATGTGGCTTCTTGTCCTTCCGTTGTCCCAAAACAACCCCTAAAGCATAATCTGAAGCATCACACATGAGCTCGAACGGAAGGCTCCAATATGGTGGAACAATGATAGGTGCCAAAGTTAACAATTCTTTGAGGTGATTGAACGCCTTCTCACATTCGTCATCAAACACAAACGGCACATCCTTTTGTAGAAGTCGGCACAAGGGTGTTAAAATCTTCGAGAAATCTTTGATAAAACGTCTATAGAATCCTGCATGTCCAAGGAAAGAACGAACCTCTCTCACCGAAGTGGGAGAGGGTAAGTGGCGTACAAGACCTATTTTTGATTTATCAACTTCAATTCCCTTTTCAGAAACTATATGTCCTAAAACTATGCCTTGATTTACCATGAAGTGACATTTTTCCCAATTTAAAACAAGGTTAGTTTCAATACAACGTTTTAATATCAACGTGAGATTAGTTAAACAGCCATCAAAAGAGTCACCGAAAACACTAAAATCATCCATGAAAACCTCAATAATCTTCTCAACGAAATCGGAAAAAGATGCTTACCATGCATCTTTGAAAGGTGGCTGATGCATTACATAAACCAAATGGCATTCGTTGATAAGAAAAGTACCAAATGGACAAGTAAAAGTAGTATTTTCTTGGTCATCTGGGGCTATAACAATCTGATTAATCCCGAATAGCCATCAAGAAAGCAATAAAAAGAATGACCGGCTAACCTTTCAAGCATTTGATCAATGAACGGCAAAGGGAAGTGATCTTTCCTTGTGGTGGCATTGAGCTTCCTATAGTCAATGCAAACTTTCCAACCTGTTTGGATACGAGTCGGGACAAGTTCATTCTCTTCAATTTTTACCATAGCGACTCCTGATTTCTTTAGTACAACTTGAACCGGTGAAACCCAACGACTATCCGAAATTGGGTAAATGACCCCACAATCGAGAAGCTTAATGATCTCCTTTTTCACAACTTCCATCATTGGAGGGTTGAGTCGGCGTTGAGCCTCTTGAGTTGGTTTAGCCCCTTCCTCTAGAAGTTTGCGATGCATGCATGTTGTAGGACTAAGTCCCTTGATGTCGGCTAAAGTCCATCCAATGGCTGCTTTGTACTCTTGCAACACCCGAACTAGTTTTTCCTCCTCCACTGCCGTGAGTGATTAAGAGACTATGACGGGCAAAGTCTCTTCATCTCCCAAGAAGACATACTTCAAATGATTCGGTAATGGTTTAAGCTCGAGAGTGGGTGCTTGAATCACCGAAGGTAACAACTTGTTAGTAGAAATGGGAATTGGAATTGGCATTGGAGGCTTACCAACATATTGTGGCAATGACTCAAGGGCAGCCACCATCTCGCCAATTTCTTCATGATTAGGTTTGGCCCCATTGGTGATGAGTTCAATTCCTTGAACAATGGTGGTTTCAAGGGCATCCCTATCTAGGGATTCGAGATATTCCTGCACCAAAGAATCAAATGCATCAATAGAGAAACACGAGTGATGATCAATAGGGTACCTTATAGCTTTAGAAATATTGAAATCAATGATATCGCCATCAAATTCCATTGTCAACGTCCCCTTGAACACGTCGATCTTGGTTCGGGCTGTTTTCATGAAAGGTCGTCCAAGTAAGATTGGCAATGGTGTAGAATAAGCCGAATCCTCCATCTCAAGCACATAAAAATTTGCTGTAAATATCAAGTGGTTAACCTGCACCAAAACATCTTCCAAAACTCCTTTCGGATATGCATTAGAACGATCGGCTAATTGAATTATAACGCCATCGTTTTTAAGCTCTCCTAAGTTCATAGATGCATAAATAGAGTATGGCATAACATTAATGGAAGCACCTAAATCTAACATGGCATGTTCAAACTTGGTGTTACCAATAACACAAGGGATTGTGAAACTACCTGGATCTTTGCATTTAGGTGGAAGTTTTCGTTGCAAAACTGCGAAAACATTCTCACTTAACCTTACCACTTCTTTGTTCGAAATCCTCCTCCTTGTTGTACAAAGCTCTTTCAGGAATTTAGCATACCTTGGAACTTGCTTTATTGCGTCAAGAAGTGGGATATTTACTTGTACCTTCCTGAAAGTCTCTAAGATGTCTTTTTCATTCTCTTTTTTCTTAGATTGCATAAACCTGCGAGGGAAAGGCACATTTCGTGGAATAGGGTTAGAATGAGTTGAATTTGGAACAACCTTACCTGAGTTTGGTTGTGTAGGAGCTTTGGGGGACTGCGGCAAGGGTTGTTCCTCCCTTGCTGTGGCTTTGTCCACCTCCTTCTCTTTGGGCAGCAGCTTTTCGTTCTCTTTTGGGCTTTGTTTGGACATTTCGGGATTGGTTCCAATCTCTTTACCACTCCTCAAGATGATAGCTTTAGCCGTAACCTCCTTTTGGATTGACAATGGTTAAGCTAGGTAGTTTGCCTTCTTCTCTAAACTGTCCCATGAATTCTGCCATCTGCCCAATTTTCTTCTTCGCTTCGCTCATCTCTTTGGCTTGATTTTGTAAACCCTGGGTCAAAGAAGTTAGTACTTGAAGCATGTTATCATTATCCAATGGCAAACCTGAATTTGATTGGGCAATTTGTGGTTGAGGTTGTGGTGGTGCAAACGGCCTTTGATAGAGCCCCGGAGGTGGCTATCTATATCCGCCTTGTTGTTGAGTTTGTTGAGGCTCTCTCCACTTCAAATTTGGATGATCTCTCCAGCCCGGATTGTAGGTGTTTGAAAACAGTTCATACCTAAGTTGATTTTGGCCTTGATAACCTACGGCATTGGCACTTTCCCATCCCCCATTCTCTATTAATTGAGGACATTGATCAGTGTGGGGTCCATGCATAGAGCACACGCTACAAGTGGCTATACTTTGCAGTTTGGATCCTTTGACAACCTGTGAAATAAGAGTAGAGAGATTGAAGTTCCAAAATAGCACTTACCTCATTAACTTGACTTGGCCGTGCATGATCTCTCCCTCAAACTCCTTCGTATTGTTGTGCATTCAAAGCTCGGTTTGCTATTAAGATCTTCGCAGCAACTGGTGTTTTGTCAACCAAAGCACCTCCTCTGAAGCATCAAGCATTTGTCTCTCCAGTGGAAGTAGTCCTTCATAGAAATATTGAATTAAAAGCTCTTCCTTCATTTGATGTTGTGGGCAGGATGCAACTAACGTATTAAAACACTCATAGTACACTGGAAAGGATTCTCCCGGGCCTTGTTGAATTCCACTTATTTTCTTCCTCAAAAGAATGACTCTTGAAGTTGGGAAGAATTTCTCTAAGAATGCTTTCTTCGTACTTTCCCAAGAAGTAACGGTTCTAGGTGCTAGTTCATAGAGCCAATCTTTAGCCTTGTCCATAAGAGAAAATGGGAAGGCTTTCATCTTCTAAATATTTCCATCCACGTTAATGGGTGTCATACTTGAACATACTACTTCAAATTCCTTCAAATGCTTGTTTGGATCTTCCATGGACAGCCCATGGTATTTGGGAATGTGATGTAGCAAACTCGACTTCAATTCAAACTCATCGGTCTTGCCTGCAGCTGCCCTAGGGTATTGAATGCAAAGAGGGACTGCATTGTCCAATTCAGAGGCTGAAAGTTCCTTGATTGTTCGATTGTCTATAGCCATGTCTTGTTCCTCTTCCAAGTCCGTTTCCGCTTCAGATTCAGGTTTAGAACTAGAACTAGAGGGATTAAGTTCTGGCTGTTTCCTCTTCCTTCTCAAAGTTCGTTCGAAATCGTCGTCAAAGTCCAATATGTGCGCACGAACAGGGTGTGAACTTCGAGTCATAGACTAGTACCTACAACAAAGAAAAAAAAAACAAAACAAAATCAGAAACACAAGAAAAACGAAAACAAGGGGAAGATTAGCAATTTTGCTAATCCTCGGAAACGGCGCCAAAATTTGGCGTCAGAAATAACTAACGCAGAAATTAAACCCTATAAATTATGCAATCATAGTACGAGTAAGGAGGGATCATTCTATTCCGGGGATTAGGAGGGATGCTAATCAACACAAATTAAACTTATTCAATTGGAAACTAAGTTAAGGGAACAATGGTTGGGGGGGGGGGGATTTGGATGATTTAGACTAAAGTAAAACTGACAGCAGCAAACAACTAAGTTGCGAATGAAATATGGATTAAGGGATAGCTAGAGGATTCTTCTCCACACATGGAACATATGCACACAAATTGATCTCCAGTTACTCTTTCTATAAAGTACGAATAACAAAGCCCCAAATTAATTCTGAATGCACTAATTAACTCTCAGATTTTCCTAAGTTCATTGAATTGGACTCAGCGACTCAATCAAATTATCCTTATCAAGTTCCCTATATGAACAGCATGATAGAGATACATATAAGAGATCATTAAGTTCTATGAAAATCATAAGCCTTGACAAGGCATGTGTAACTATGAAAAGAATGATACTCCTGCCAGGAATTTACTTAACGCAATCATGACTAGTGACTTTTACTACTTGTGAATATAAGTTCATAACGATTAGGTGAAATTCCCTTATATTCTAGCATCAAATCCCTGCATACAAACTAAGTATGCATCCTTAATAAACATGCAAGAATAAGTCCTCAATAAAACAGAAAAGTAAATCAGATTCATACTTTATGAAACCATAACTGGAAGTAATCAATTCATATAAAACATATGTCCATGGCTTCGAATTCACCTCTAACTAAGAAGAAATTCAGTCACATATGTTCATAATAATTGAAAAGCAATCTGGAATAAACATTTGAACTAATCAAGGGAAGAACTCTAAAAACCCCAATGGACGCAGCAGGTTCCGACTCCAAGTTCTTCTTCTCTCTTTCTCCTCTCTTTGTGGTGAATCTGAGTGTGTGTATGAGAGTAATGGATGAAGTGAATGTCCTGTGTTCAGAATTGTTGTGCTATTTATAGGGAGAATGAAAGGAGAATATCTGAATTGAATATGGGTTATGCCAATAGCACTTGCAATTAAAAATTCATCTTCGCTGCTGCACTTCACCAACCAATCCTACCAGATAGCACTTGTAATTAAAAATTATTTTCATGGCTGTTGCACTTCACCAACAAATCCCACCAGAAAATGGACGTGTAACTTCATGGGCTCATGCAATGGGCTTGCCTTAATCAATTGATGTATTTGAGCAGTCCAACTTGACGTTCAACCTCTCATCTTTCGAACCACATGTTACTTGGGCCAATCCAAGTTCGGAAGAAGAAGTTAAGGCCGAAATGAATTGCTAACTCAATATGCATATTTTTGCACCATTTTGCATATTTTCAGAATTATGCATTGATCAGCCAATCAGCCCTTAACATGCATGAATTGTATCAAATGTGATGCCCTTGTTGTCTTAACCTACAAACACACAAACATAGGTAAGAGACTTAAAATAAAGAGAAACTAAACAGAATTACTAAGCAAAGAAGGCATGCAAATGTGTAAAATTATGACCTTATTAGATCCACAACATGTTATAACACAAACTCCGCGTATTTCAAGTAGGGTTAGAAGAATGCCTGAGAGGTATTATGGTTTCCTTCATGAAAACGAAGGAGAGTTAAATCTCTTAAGTGATTGTAAGGATATTGAAGACCCTTCAAAGTACAATGAGGCAATGTTAGACATTGACTCACAAAAATGGCTTGGAGCCATGAAATCCGAAATGGATTCTATGTATACCAACCAAGTCTGGACTCTAGTTGATCCACCTCCTGGTATTGTACCAATAGGAAATAAATGGATTTTCAAGAGGAAAATAGGCTCATATGGGAAAGTAGAAACCTATAAGGCAAGGCTAGTAGCAAATGGCTACAAGTAGAGAGAAGGAATTGACTATGAAGAAACCTTCTCTCCTGTTGCTATGACAAAGTCTATTCAGATTTTGCTTGCAATAGCTGTATACCATGATTATGAGGTTTGGCAAATGGATGTGAAGACGGCTTTTCTTAATGGACACCTTCAGGAAGAACTATACGTGGATCAACTTGAAGGCTTCATTTCTAAAGCTGATAAGCATAAGGTATGCAAGCTACATAAATCCATTTATGGATTGAAGCAAACTTCTGGGAGTTGGAATATCCATTTTGATGAAGTTGTCAAATCATTGGACTTCATACAAAACATGGATGATCAATGTGTGTACAAGAAGGTTAGTGGGAGTTCAGTAGTATTCCTTGTCTTTTATGTAGATGACATACTGATTATTGGAAACGATATAGGAATGCTATCTTCAGTGAAGCTGTGGCTCACTAAATCATTCTCAATGAAAGATTTAGGAGAGGCATCTTATACACTTGGAATAAAGATTTATTGTGACAGATCTCAGAGAATAATTGGATTATCTCAATCCTTGTATAGATAAGGTGCTAAAGAGATTTCATATGGAACAATCTAAGAAGTGGTTACTTCCAGTTAGACATGGACTTCACCTTTCTAAGAACATGTGTCCGAAAACTCCTGAAGAGATACAGTAGATGAGTAAAATCCCTTATGCATCTGCAATAGGGAGTCTCATGTATGCCATGGTTTGTACAAGACCAGATATCAGTTATGCTGTTAGTATAATGAGTAGATATCAATCGAACCCCGGATTAGATAATTGGGGAGTTGTTAAGTGTATCCTTAAATACTTACGAAGGACTAAGGACATGTTCCTTTTTTATAGAGGAGCATCAGAGTTACAAGTGGAAGCGTTTACTGATTCAGATTTTGCATCCGATGTAGATGATCGTAAATCCACATCTGGATACGTCTTCATTTTGAATGAAGGCGTTGTTAGCTGGAGAAGCTGTAAACAAAGTGTTACTCCACAACTGAAGCTGAGTATGTTGCTGCCTCAGAAGTAGCAAAGGAAGCCGTTTGGATGAAAAAGTTCATTAACGAACTAAATGTGGTTCCAACCATAATGTCACTAGTACCTTTGTAATATGACAACAATGGGGCGATAGCTCAAGCTAAAGAACTCAGGTCTCATTGGAGATCCAAGCACATTGACAGAAAATTCCACAAGATTCGAGAACTCATTTCGAATGGTGATGTATGCATTCTAAAGGTTGCATATGCAGACAACGTAGCAGATCCACTCACTAAGCCTATGTCATAGTCACAACTGGATAGACATACAGAGAAAATGGGTATTAGATACATGGCTAAATGGCTCTAGTGCAAGTGGGAGATTGTTAGAAATGTGCCCTAATAGCCAATACATTTGATGTATTCTCCTTAGAATGCATTTCGTATATAAAGGGCAAACTTATTTTGTTATCTTTTACATCGTGTAAAGAAAAAAATGTCTAGGGTATGCTATATAAGAGATAAAGTAATCTAAAGAAGATTAGATTCGTGAGACCTTTAATCTCTAACTGTAGTACCCCAAAATGTTCCTAATCATAGGTTATCAAATGGGCATTGATAAACTGTCAAGATTAGCACATATTATGTATTCTCAATTGGGAGGATGGTTAGTCTCAAACCATTTGTGTAGTTGACACTAATACAAGTATGTGGGTGCCCATTAGTGAATGAGTACACTGAATGCGATCAATCGTAGTTCTCGTATGGAGTATTTATCTATATGTGAAATGAGAACTCATAGTTGCAATAATGCAAATTAGTCCTTAGACCTGAGGCATCATGGTTGTCCTGTGATGCGTTATTGATCTTTGATAGCTCTTAAAGGCAAGCCTTAAAAGATTTGTCTAAAGTGTTGTTGGGATCTCTTAATTCATCATAGGGGCATGTGAATGTACAATAAGGAATCTCTACTTTTGATATAGAAAGAGAATGTTTCAAGATGTGATTCAACAAATCTTCAGCCGAAGTATTTGAACATGATTTAGAAAGTGTTTTTAATCATGTTCTATTGAATCACATGAGGTTAATCATATTAGGGGTTTGACATTATCAATCCGTACCCTGAAAATATGATTGGAAACATTGTATAAGAGAAGGACCGTATTGCATTGCAATTCCAACTGAATAGGTTCTTTGTCTATTCTAATTAGCTTGGGTAGCCATGATATGTTGCTAGATGTCACTCTTGGCTTGTGGAAGTCCTAGGATTGATTGTGATCGATCCGAATACAGGAAGAATTAAAAAGGGGGTTTTAATTCCAGTTAGTTAGAAAGAGTTCTAATGTTTTTCCCACTGCCTTGCTAAATTAGAACCTAATGGATCGCACACCTTAAATGGTTAACTTTGAGTAATACAAATGAGAATGAGGAAATCAATTTGATTGATTTGATGTGGATAAGTTACTACATGTAAAATTGTATTTGGGCCTCCGTAATAGTTAATGAGAAGCCCAAATGGTTGGGTATCAAGCCCAAGGGCTTTATACACCTAAAGATTATGGTTTAAGTGTCATAAAGCCCAATTTTGGAAGCCCAATGGGGTTTGTCCAAAAATGCTTAAGTAGAAGTGTATGGGAATTGTTTCCATAAGCTAATTAACACACAAACACAATCCAACCTCAACCAAATAGGTTTGGGAGATTAAAGAGAGATAAAAAGAGAGTTTTCAAGAGTGAAATACTTTCATCTTTCAAAGTGGTTTAGATTGAAACCAATCTTGAGATTCTTGAACTAGCATTCTTGTATTCTCAAGATACTCCTTCTCATCTCAAGGTTCCATTAGGGTTTAGGGTTCCATTGGTGTCGAGACTTAGAGGCCATATCCTTTTGTGGCTCACAAGGAGGAGAAAGATCAAAGAGGAGATCAACAAAGGGAAATCATCAGGAGAAGACCAAAACACAACTTGGTTCATATTATAGCATCAAGGGTAATTGATACTTATCCTTTTCTCTTGTACTTTCCTTTATGAAATCATATCAATGTTCATGGCTTAAGATACTTGGAAGAAGTTTTGTTTTTAAATTTAAACAACCACCATATTTTTCCGCTGCGATTAATTTGATTAAATGCAAGTTTAATATTCAAATGAACTTCTTAACAATGTTTTAAAACCAACAGGACCATGGTGACTTACTTTTACGTATCATTCCTTTATGAAGGAACTCTGCAATTTCCTTTTTGCAAAATTCCTTGACTTCTTGACTCATTTGGATCGGTCTTGCTTTAGTAGGAATATATTTCTCAATAAAGTCTTTGACGTAAGGAAGACTAACTATATGTTGTTTTCTATGCCAAAAGGCATTAGGTAGGTCAGAACAAATTTCTTGTTTTAACTTCTCTTCAAAAATTTTGACTTGTAGTTGCAAGTTTCCATTTGCAAGCTGTTGTTCAATCCTATTAAAGTTGATTTCTTCTTTAAGGAAGTTGACTTGTTTGCTATTAATTTGAATTAATTTGATTGATTTGGAGATTGCATTTTTTTGGAGGGCTTTTAATGCTTGTAATTCTGGTTTGGCTAAGAATTAGAATTTGACCTTTTCTCCCATGTGGATAGAGGTGACTCCATCGTATTCTACACTAAAAGGATAGAGTAGGGTAATAAATGACAATCCTAAAATGACTTCATCAGTGATGTCTTTGACTAGGACAAAGGATGTTTTAAAGCATATTTTATTTTGGCATAAATGGGTTTTAGGGATTTCATATTTAAGGTGAGAGGCTATACCTAAAGATCCTTTTGACTTTTTGTAATATTTAGGGGTAATTAATCCTTCTTAAATGCAATTAAGGTTGGCTCCTGAGTCAAAAAGAGCTACTGTTTTTAGTTCAAAATTATGGACATAAATACTTGTAACAACCTGATCCAAAATTAATTATTAATTATTAATTTATTTTGGCAAAAGACTATTTTGCCCTTGAAATATTTTATTGATATAAAAGTTGACTTTTTGATCGGGAGGGAGTTTGGAAATTTCAATTGGACCGTTGCGTAGAGCACGTCGAGACGAGTTCGTAGACACGTAGTGGGCTCAAATCCGAGTTGTAATGAAGAAATTGCGATGAAAAAAGTTGGCAAACTTGTAAATATTTCGAAGTTCGTTTGGAAAAACCATATTTTTCCCCTCTCTCTCTCTCTCTCTCTCTCACACACACACACACACACACACACACGCGCGCGCGACAAACCCCCTAAACGGAAATTGCAATGTTGCCGCCATGACCAGTCGTCGCTCTTGCCGGACCGAACCCAAATGAACCACCGCCACTCCCTTTTCCCCTCTTGACCAATCTCCACCCCTGAACCAGCCGGAATCCGGCGGATTTTTTGCAGAAAACCGGCCGATTTTGTGAGATATTCCCGGAGCCCGTTCTCCCTCCTTCGGCCACTGTTTTCGATGAGTGAGGTATGGATTCTCATCTACTCTTCGAACTCTAGCTGATGGTTGGGTAGGATTTGATCGATTTCTAGTCTAGGTAACTCAATATTTCAACCCTATGTTTGGCTGGTTTTCCAATAGAATTTTCAACCACTTGCAATTCGAATTGGACGTTGCCGTAGTTGAATAAAGTGTTCCACTCGTCGAGTAGTAGCTATAGCCAAAAGGGTGGCACTCGGTTTGAAGATTTTCTCGCCACCGGTATCGCTTAGGATACACGCCCTGCCGGCTCGTGTGTTGGAGTGTGGGCCCTATAGCAGAGGTCCATTGTGTTTGAATGTGATCTCCAGGTTGTCATGAGCGCGTAGGTGTGCTCGGATTTCAATTTGGATGTCGTTTGGTTATCGAATGGATTAAGCCTATTAGTCGTTATCCGAGTTCGATAGGTTTGGGCCATTGGATCGACTCCAATTTAATATATGTTGATCTAGGCGCTCCTAATATCGTGTAGGATTTCACGGATCTTGAATCGGAGTCTCAGATATTCCGATTCAATATTTCGAAGTTTAATTAAACGATAACCGTCCGATTGTACGATCGTGATCAATCCGATCGTTCGATTCGGACCAAACTTGCAGGACATGGTTAATAAAATGTGTAGAACCTATAGGAACTCTCGGATTGATAATTGTAGGTCGTGGACACCACGAGGTCGGGGGCTGACTATTTCAAGTAATTTATCGCTTATTGAGTCTTGGGTCTTTTCAAATTGTTCTAACCATTCGAGATGTTTAAGGTAGGCATAGGAATGGTCTTAAACTAGGTACATGCACTTTTAGAAACCGGGGATCAGGGTTTTGGATTAAATAATTATGTTGGGCAATTTTATTAATTAAATATGTTTAATGGCTTAAATAGGTACTCGAGCACCGTCTGACCCACAGGAGGGACCCTCAAAGGGTCAAGCTAGCCCGAACGCCCAGTGAGTGGACTTTTGTTTTTATAAATGAATTTTTAGGCAACTCAACTTTCATTAATTTATTTTATTGAATTGTTTAAGACGGTTACTTTCCAAGCATGATTAATTGAATTTAAATATTTTTATTTATATGTTGCTATGTTTCAATGCAAATGGCTTGGAAATTAGGAATTGAGGTGATAACCAGATTTAATGGTTTGATGAAGATAAAATGGTAGTTTTCCAATAAAGGCATGTATTCTTTTTAAACCACCATAGGTACCCATGTTGCCTTCGGATTATATTGTTGCCTTCGGTTATGTCAGCGCGTTTGACAATTGCCCCACGAGTCTTAGGGTTATCCGGACCGTGCAGAGCGATGAATGCGGATCAGTTCGACTAAATGTCTCCTGAGTCCTGCGAGGATTGCGGCTCGGGTTGACTTTTTGTTACTGAGGCCTGCTGATAGGAGCATATTTATGCGACTTTGCTATTTTATTTCTTTGCATTTACTTAGTTAATTCCCATTTATTAGAGTGATTTAGCTTATTTTCGTACTATTGTAAGTCCAGATGGCAAGATTGGCAAGAAAGAGCATTTTGGAGCATTTTAGAGCAGTTTTTAACTTGGAATGGATAGCATATGCATGGGCCAAGATGGATGGACGTTTTTGAAATTCAAAGAGGCTAGGAATGTACTAAAAAGATTGGGAAATTAATTCAAGAATCAGCTTCTGGGAAATAAAAAACCCTAACTGATTTTATTTTATTTTACCTTATCCTAATCCTATTCTACCTAAATTCCAACTGGAAAAGGGGGGGATTAATTTCAGATTAGGAAAACTAAAAACCCTAAATTCGTGGGTTTCTGTTGGGCCCTATCCTTGTTTCTAAAGAAATCTGCCAAACAAAACCCTAATTTCGTGGGTTTCTACTGGGCCCTTTTACCCTAGATCTACCATATATAAAGTAGGGGTTGCCGCAGGAGAAGAGAGTTTTTTGGTGCCGTAGCAAGAATGAGAAAGAGAGAAGAAGAACTTGGAGCTGGAACCTGTTGCATCCATTGGGGTTTTTTAGAGTTCTTCCCTTGATTAGTTTAAATGTTTATTCTAGATTGCTTTTCAATTATTATGAACATGTGTGACTAAATTTCTTCTTAGTTAGAGGTGAATTCGAAGCCATGGACATATGTTTTATATGAATTGATTACTTCTAGTTATGGTTTCATAAAGTATGAATGTGATTTACTTTTCTGTTTTATTGAGGACTTATTCTTGCATGTTTATTAAGGATGCATACTTAGTTTGTATGCAGGGATTTGATGCTAGAATATAAGGGAATTTCACCTCATCGTTATGAACTTATATTCACAAGTAGTAAAAGTCACTAGTCATGATTGCGTTAAGTAAATTCCTGGCAGGAGTATCATGCTTTTCATAGTTACAATTGCCTTGTCAATGCTTATGATTTTCATAGAACTTAATGATCTTTGATATGTATCTCTATCATTCTGTTCATATAGGGAACTTGATAAGGATAATTTGATTGCGTCGCTGAGTCCAATTCAATGATCGTAGGAAAATCTGAGAGTTAATTAGTGCATTCACAATTAATTTGGGGCATTGTTATTCATACTTTATAGAAAGAGTAACTGGAGATCGATTTGTGTGCATATGTTCCATGTGTGGAGAAGAATCCTCTAGCTATCCCTTAATCCATACTTCATTCACAACTTAGTTGTTTGCTGCTATCAGTATTACTTTAGTCTAAATTGTCCAAATCCCCCCCAATCATTGTTCCCTTAACTTAGTTTTCAGTTTAATAAGTTTAATTTGTGTTGATTAGCATCCCTCTTAATCCCCGGAATAGAACGATCCCTACTTACGCGTACTACGATTGCATAATTTATAGGGTTTAATTTGTGCGTTGGTTATTTCTCACACCACCTGCGAGGACGTGTCGCCAATTTGTGGGGATCACTAAGGCTTATTGTGAAATATGGGTAACAATCAAAATGAATTGGACCATTAAACAGACTTGACTCTATGATTCCTAGAGTACCATAACTAAAATTGGTGCATCATGTAAACAAAGTAAAATAGAGGTATTTAGTCCTAATCTGCTACTTGAACTAGGCCAATGTGAAGGAAATTGTTTCCGTCTCTCTTATGTTTCTTTATTGACTCAAGATTGAGTAGCTGACATGTTTCATGTTCTTTACTTAAGGCATAGATTTGTTGGACTATTTTCACATGGGTTGTAATTTTAGAGGAGATTGACCATCTTTTTCTATATATGTCTGAACTGGGGACTTTGGGGATATTCCAATCTTTATAATCAACTTCACTATTAGTTTCATACTAAATTTGTTCTTCATTTACTATTTCTGAGAGTTTACTAATACTGGCTCTAGAACTGTTACTGTTACAAGAGTTTGATCTAAAAAGGCGATTCATTTGAACAAGGATTACTAGTTTTCTCACAAAGGGTAAGAAGAAAAGATAATAATTTGTAAAACCATGCCCTAAGCTCAATTAATAGCTTGAAGTAAATGACACACAAGACGTGTTGACCCAGAAAACCCAAAAGGGTAAAAAACTGGAAGAAACAAGCTAGGAGATATCCAATCCTTTCATTTTGAAATACAAGAAAAACGAAAGAAGACTTAGCTCAATCTATCACCTGTAGGCAGCTTCAATCAACCTTTCAGCAAGCACCTTTTCTTTATCTCTTAGCAGCAAATTCTCTCAAGAGCACCAAGCTCTAGTTGCATGTAGTTTGATGTATGGAGTGAGTTATGGTTTCACAGATTCATCTATCTCAATCACAGAGTATGATTGAGCTAGACAAATGAAACCTAAGTGTCGTGAAGAATAAACTAGAAGTAAAGAATTTGAACTAAATAGTTTAATTCAACATAACAACAACACAGAAAAGGTTTAGAACTAAAATCTTGTAAATGTATACTTGGAGAAGGTTATATGTATACTATCAATCGTATACTCACAGGTAACATATACTAGCTAAAACATTAATGAAGAGATTGAAGTAAAGAGAACATTCATCCATTAAAGATTTAAAGTCATCTTGGGGAAGCACTTATGTGAATGCAATCATTCTCATAACAGCTACTGGGTACATTAGCAATCTATAAATAACCATCTATACTCAATCGTAACATGACCCAGATAACTCATTCTCGGTCAGGACTCATTTACTCGGTCATTTAAACACTTCCCAAGGAATATAACTACCTTGAAAGAGTCACGGTCAATCAAGGGGTCAAACCGTCTAAACTTGTTCAACCGGGCTCGCAGGGCCCACGACCTCCGATCACAAACTCAAGAGTCTCTAAAGGTTCCAATATGTCTAGGACACATGTCCCAAGAGTTTGGTCTCGATCGGACAATCGGATTACTCACAATCGCATGATCAGGTAGTTACTGTAAACCTAGCCCTAGGGTTCGCGATTTCGGAGTATCCGGGACTCCGATTCGTGATCTCCTGAATTCTATACGATCCTGGAAATACAAGTTACAATATACCAATCCTGGAAATCACACAATAGGAGAAATCTGTTCGAGAGACAATGTCCAAATTGAAATCTGAGCACACCTACACACTCGTGACAACTAGGGGATCGTATTGGGACACAATGCCCCTTTGCTACAGTGTCCACGTGCTGCCACACGCTTCGGCAGCACATGGGTGTCCAAAGCGATAACAATCGCCGGAAAATTCTCAAATTTAAGGGCCAAGCTTCCTACCCTAGGTGCAAAACCTCATTTGGAGTCACTTTTGTTCTTGGGCATATCCCAAAAAACAAGTGGAAATGGCTGGAATCGAGCTTCCAAAATCGGCCAAACACTAAATCCAAAATTAACCCCACTTACGCTAGAAATTTCTCAAATCCTACCTAACCATAAACTAGAGCACGAAAAATAGTCGAAAATCCATACCTTACTCGACTGAATTGGTGGCCGGAGGAGAGAGATTGAAGCCGGCGAAATTCTCTTTCAAAACCGACAATTCCGATCTTGATCCGGCGAGATTTTGGCAGCTACCGGTGTTTGGGTGAGCTGGGATTGACGGCGGAGCTAGGCCGGTTGCCTTGGCACTAGTGGCGAGCGCTGGGGTGGTCGTGAATGGTGGCTGCAGTGGTGAAGGGCTGCGGGAAGAAACCAGAAAGGGGAGGGGGGTAGAGAGAGGAAGAGAGTTTTAAAATTTCTGATATGGCAAATTACAATTTTGCTCCTCAATGTATTTTAATCGTATTTTCTTCATTATAACTCCAATTCAAGCCTACTATGTGTCTACGGACTCGTTTCATTGTGCTATATGCAATGGTACAATAGAAGTTCCCAAATTCCTTCCCGATCAAAAAGTCAACTTTAAACATAAGAAAAATTTCGAGGGTATTTTAGCCTTTTTCTCAATTAAATTAATAATTAAAAATTAATTAAGGACTGGGTTGTTACATTGGTAGCTAGTCATCATAGTTTTCACGGCAGAAAAATTTTAGAATCGAAGATGAGTAATGCTTTGTATAGAAATGAAAGCAAGGATATGGACGATAAATGGAAAGTTAGATGAGAAAAGAGGGATGTAGTTCATGGAGATTGAAAAGTCCACTGGAAGGGGTAGAGCTTATTGCTTTCAATTTTTTTAATATAATTTTGGGGCTAAAATATCTACATTCAAGGGTAGGATCGAGAAAAATTGGCTCCCAGCAGGATAGGAAAATTTTCTGAAAAAAAGTTTTGGAGGTGTAGGGGCTTTTTTGGTTCCAGCAGTTACAAATAGGCTGGGCTGTCGTAAGGAGCAAATAGGTGAAATTACCCCTTGAGTCTTAGTTCTAGAATTAGACCCCAAGAATGCTTCGAAAAGGTAGTGAAGCCCTAGAAAACACCTAGTTATCTTCACCAACAAAAACAATGACTGCTTACAGGAAGATTCTTAGCTTTGCATGAGAAGCTTGTGGCATAGGAGCAAAGAAGTCATGATTTTAGCATTAAAGAGAGAGAGGGTTGTGAGTTACTATGAGAAACAGGGGTTCTAATGAACGGCTGAAGGGATTCTAAGAAGGTTTGTTGAAGAGAGAGAGATATGGGGGTATAATGGGTGTGTTGAATAGTTTCCGGTAGCTTGATGAAAACTCTGTCAAACTCTGAAACGATTTACCAGAAGAGAAAATGGGAAGAGATGAAGGAATGAGGCTCGAATTTGCAGGGATTTCAGGGATGAGAGATGAAGCTTGCTCTCTAGATGTGTGTTGTTTGATAGGTAGGATATGACCCCTTTTTATAGCCGCTGGGAGCTCCTCTATTCCAAGAAACCTTAATGGTTTCTCTCCGATTTTGCCAAGCAGCCCAAAACTTTCATTTCTCGGCTCATCAATGGGCCTCATGAAAGTTCGTTACCATCCATACCACAACCCACACAGCAAGCCTCGGGCATTTGCGTGGCTTAGGACCACTTAAGTTTGTAGCGTGGCTAGGTGTAATAATAATGATTTTCGCTTGGCGTTGCATGTTGCTTAGCGTGTTTGAATTTTGTCGCCTTTAAAAAGGGATATGATGTTTGACAAGATAATAAGTATGAGCTTGTAAAGCCAGTGCATTTTATAGGCTATAGTGTGGCAGATTACATATTTATTTGGCATGACATGTGGATCGTGACTCGTGCGAGCGTAAATGATGAACTTTCGCGTGCTCTAAATCGGGTCTCTTCTTAATAAGGTATCGCACTGGGCTGAAATTTTATTTGGGCCAAACTCTGGGTTTTTTGGGCCTTAACAGGAGGATAGAGGAGAGAGAACAAATTGAGGGTTTCACTTAGAATTACTGTTTTGGAGCCATTGGATTAGATCTAAGAGTGTTATCACATGAAGATTAGATCTAAGAGTGTTATCACATGAAGGTTCACAAATAGAAGTACTTGCCAGAGAACGGCCCATGAATATAATATGTAAAAATATTTGTGATGGGCCTGGCCTGTCTTGGATATCATAGGTTCGTTTCGTAGTAAGCGAGGGAAGGACTTCTTCAGGAAAGTTTGAAGGCGGCGATTGTTGGCAACCAAAGCCCAATCTTTATGCGGACAGCGGACCGGAAGTATATAAATTGGTCCAAGAAATGAACCCAAACCTCTCTTCTCTGCTATCGCTATCCCGTCTCAAGCCCTAACTCGAGAGCATTCCTTTCGTCCCGTCCGATCCGATCCTTCCCAATGGCTCAAGCTGCTCATCCCATATGCAAACTCCTGATACTCTCTGGAATTTCTATAATGAGTTATAAAATTTATAATCTCGCAGATGAAGCAACGGCACTGATGCTAGAAGCGGACAAAAAGGTCGACGAGTTTCAGAGGTAATTGTTAATTATATGGTTTTTTTTTCTTTTATATTTTTTATTTCGAGTTTCTAATTATTCTGCATCCTTGCTTTAATTGGTTTCTTCGCTTCGCTTCATAATCGTGTTGGTTCTTCTGGTCTTTGCATCTCTATATTTTCGTTTACTGGAGTGTGGGAAGTGTTTCCATCCATAAAAACACACACACATATATATAATCTATATCTGTTTTGGCCTAATTATGTCATAGGTTTACGAAAAATATTTGTAACCCTCAGTTTTGTCCATCTCAAATTTCCTTTTTCTTTATCTTTCTTTTTATCCTTCTCTTTGGAGAGGAGGGGGGGGTGGTGTTGGTTATTGAATAAAGTAAGAGATGAAGAGTGCATTTAAACTCTTTCAGAGAAATATCAGTAGGTACTCTAGGAACTGCAAAGTTAATTTACTGTGGTTGCAAAGGCCACTGTTCTCCCCATATTGTTGCACTCTGATTTGTGCATAAAAAATCATTAATAATTTTTGGATTCCAAACAATAAGTCTGTTATTAATTTTTACAAGGTATTTTGTTTATAATATTCCTTCATTTCTGTTGGAAGTACAAAGGTTGTAGCTTGTGTAAAGCATTTTGTGGGTGATGGGGGAACAACCAAAGGCATCAATCAGAATAACACTCTGATAAACAAACACGGCTTGCACAGCATTCACATGGCAGGCTACTATAATTCAATTATCAAGAGATGAAGAGTCCCGGTTTTTTCCAGGGTTACACACATATAATATACTAATACTGAGGCTGAAAGCCCACATATACAATCTCGTCCCCTGGGAAATTAATTGGAGACTACCATATAAATAGGAACTAGTAAACTTTTCTTTGGACTCGGTTCTTGTCTTGTCTGTCTGGCCGCCATTTCTACTTCAGTGAGCTTGTTTAACTTATTCAATAATTCAGTCGATATGTTTTTACATTATGGTGAAATTCCAAATTGGCTTGTCTATTGCAAATGTTTTAGAATCGAGTTGTGTTTGATTTATATTTAGGTATGTTTATAGAGGAATCCTCAAGTGTGGACTTCCTCAGTGCATACTTGTCACCAACATTTATAGTTTGACTTTACTTGTTTTCCAATAGGACCAGTCATAGCTTTACAAAGTACAACATCATTGATGTGTACCGGGAATGGAGGGAAAACCAAACCGTCCTGGACACCATTGCATCTATACGCAGGTTCCGGTACGTATATCGCAGTTAGTTATCTTGGTTTTGATTGATCTATCTATGTAATTTTTAAATGTTGGCCTTTTGGCCACTACACCACTCTTAGGTTTCTTGCTGCACTATTTTAGGTTTGCGTGACTAGATTACTTTATCTATTCTTTGCATGCAAATCCCTCTCAACTGATTCAACACCCAAACCTGAATCAGTAACTCAAAATCGTCACATTTCATCTAATGTGCTTATGAATCAGGATTCATTTAAGATGAACAAAATGTGGTTTTATTACTTTATTGGCAACAATGGAGACTTCTAAACCTTCTCTCCCCTTTCTTTTTTATTAATTTATTTTTTTTCTGGTTTTCTCTCTTTAATTTGATTGCATGTCTACTTCTGCATTTCTCAACTATCTTCTTCACTCTCTTCCTCTACATCTCCATAACCCATCTCCCTCTGCAGCTCGGCTCCTTCAGCAACTCCCTCTGTAATTTCTTCACTTCAAGCCATGCTAGTACATAAGTTGCTTGTAAAATATCTGATTTTACCAAATAAGATAACTACAACGAGATATTGTATTGGTTTTGTTCTGCTAGTACATAAGTTGCTTGCCCACTGTTATTGTACTGGTTTTGTTCTGCATCCACTTATTTCCTTTTGTTTTTAGTATGCATAGTTGGACTTGACTTGTGCGTGTGTGTGAATAGGGATGCTAGTGCGGGGAAGATGCTAGAGGAGTAGTTTCATGCTTCAAATACTGATCGCCCGGGCCTCATCTCTCCATGATGTATGTGTTAGTTTAATCTTTCTATGTTCCTCAGTTTGTTAGTGTAGATATACATCTCCTTTTGCTTTTGTTACGGCCGAAAAGCTCTCTATTTTATCATGTTGGTCCTTTGTTGCGCGACAGCAAAACCATGGCGTCGCGCAAGGTAATATTTTAATCCTCAAATTTAACGACACCTGCGCGACGTAAGAGTTCCATTGCGTAGCGCAAATAATTTCTGCGCGACGACAATACGTTTCGTTGCGCAAGATTATTAGAACCTAAACCCTAAACCCTAAGCCACCAATAATTTCGACATCTTGCGCTACGAAGGGTATATATTGCGTAGCGAAAATATACTCTGTGCGACGACAGCCTATTTCGTCGCTCAAGATTATCAGAAATAAATCCCTAAACCCTAACGGGAAACTGTGGACAACTTGCGCGACGTATAAAACGATTTCGTCGCTCAAACCTCTCGGAAAACCAAAATATTTTAGTTTTATTTAATTTCTATAATTAGTATTTTGTTTTTACTATTATTTATTTAGTGAAGAATTAGTTTTAAATTTTTTTAATTTATTTATGAAATGACTGAATAAATAGTATTTAATTCTTTTACGGTCTTGAAAACCTATTTTAAATTTTCAAAAGTATTTTTAAAATAGTTTCTATTATTTAAAAATCCTGGAAACTTGTTTGAAGTAGGCAAAAATGGTGTAAAACTGTTTTAGTATTCCAACAATTTATTTTAGCCTCCAAAACCCAAAATTGAAGTCTCAAATTAAAAACTCTAACTTCTAAACTTGTTCCAACACCGCTCTCAAGTCTCGAACCCTAACTATAAGCCTACTCTAGGGCACTTGTGATGAGATTACGCTTGAAATTCTTATTTTAACACTACGTCGAGCAACTTGATTACTTTTTTAGACTTTGACTATGCCAAATTTACTAAACCTAAGTAGTTAATTTACGCATGTTATAATATGTGTATTTATTTATATCGCAATGTAATATTTTAACACGTAAATTAACTCAATGACACACTTCTAGGGTCTTAATAATATAATTTCATCATATTTGTTCTTTAAATGAAAAAGATTTATATACTTGGTTTGCGCGACGAACATTGGTATTGCTTTTCTTCATTTAATAGTAGAATAATGAACTTTCTCCTATTTTTTTTTTAAAAAAACTTTTTAATTAACTTTATGACTTGCAGTGACAAAGTTTGACCTCTTGAGAAAGAGGAGGACAAAATCACATGGGCTGTAGCTAAGCATGGAACATCGCGAAGAGAGATGAATTCTTGATTTTAATTTTTCAATTTTTTCATGAATGTTTCAATTTTTTGTATTCTTTCAATTTCAATAGTTTCAACTCCAAAAAGAGAAAACCCTAATTCTTATATTCATAAATACCACTTAAATTCAAATAGTTAGATTCAATGCATATATTATATGATTAAATTTGTGATTAAAAAAGTCAAATTCAAATTGTGTGCAACTTGATTTTAATTTGTGATTGCCATCTTTACACTACCATAATTAAAATACACAAAATTTAATTTACTATTTACATAGGTAGTCACTAATAAATTGCATTATTCATCATCTGAACTATAATAACCTTCGTTATCGTCGCTATCATCACTTTCGTAGTTTGGGCCCACTGGAACATCGTATCGCGGAAGATCACCGAGGTCAATTGTAATTGACTGAATCGGTATTTCGATTGAAGACACTCCTTGAATCTGAAATGGTTCTTGTATAACATTTGTATCTCGAAGTGTTTCTGCATCATTTTCCATGGAAGACTCCAAACGTTGGTCAGTGACGTCGTTGTCAGTTGTGTCTAGTTCTGGTATAGCATACACGTTCCTCTGATCCATCTGCTGAACAACTTTCCAACCGCTCCTGGCTTTAGGGTCATCTAGATATACAATTTGTTTTGCCATATTTGCCAAAATGAAAGGGTCGTCATCATACCAAGTTCTGTTAATGTTCACTGATACTAAGCCATGGTCGATTTTAACACTTCCTGTGTATTTGGGTTTGTATCAAACCATTGACACTTAAATATGATCAATTGGAATCGGTCTTTGTAAAGCAATTGCACAACTGTTGTCAATTTGCCATAGAAATCAATGTCCGTACTTTCGCCTCCACTTGGGACATGGACACCGTTGTTTTGCCTACACAACTTGTCATCTCGTGTAGCCCCCAAAAGAGTGGATAGAGAAGCTGGAAATTCTGGGAAATGATCAAATTACAGGGGGGACTCTGCTAAATTTTCAGTAGAAGTCAAACTTGTAATAAACTTAAATTTTAACTAGAAGGGCAATTCAGTCATTGTGCCCGACACTCGAGTCATTGTGCCCGGCACTCGCCAAATGTCGGATACGCATAGGGTTCGGCTCGGATTCCAAAGTAGAATCTGGGTCGGGTCCTGTCATCGAGCCCATAGACTCAAGCCGTGCTAGTGACGGGCCACTGAACCGGCCGAGATGGGCCACGTCAGATTTGACTAATGTATTGCATAGTTTTTTGTATTTTTTTTTTACAACTTCATTTAAATATTTTTTACAATTGTGTATATACTAACAAGATTTATTATTTGTTGAAAAAAGTGGCCATTAACTTTCTTTAAAGTATATTTGAATAGAAAATGACTAGATTATTGCATGAATTTTAAAATTTAAAACTTGAAAAACAAAATCATTATTTTATATATACAGAAAATAATTAAATTTTAATACATATTATTAGAGGAAAGAAATAGACTTGAATTTAAGATATAAATGTAATAATAGTTTGTATTATTTTTCTTTAAAACAAATGTAATTTAATAAATGGGCTGTAAACAGGCCAGCCCGTTGGGTAACGAACTACCACAGCCCTCAATGGGCAACGAACTACCCCGACCCATTAGGCCTAATAACCTTGTCGTGCTGAGCCTTAATTAAGTTGGCCATGCTCATGCTGTACTAGGCCGATCTGATCTGTTTGACACCTCTATGCGCATCTCATTGCCCTCCTCTTGTATATTTGTGAGGAACCATTGACCTCAAGCCAACAAAAATTTAAAAACATATGACTAAGCCCAAAACAGAACTAGCTCATTTACTATATCCTTATTATTTTCCATTTTATTGAGTGTAACCAAATTTTCTTTAAATAATAACATAACTCATAAAACATGGTTTGGGATATAAAACAGGGTTCATGTTTAAAATTTTATTAAGAACAAAACTGTAGATGTTTCTCAGCCCCAGCCCTGAGCCATGGCAATCAGGGTGGAGTGCTTCTATAGTGAGTGGAAAGTTATAAGGGGTGTTTTTGAGGGGTATCTAAGAGCCGTCGGATAAAATCCAATGGTGAGTTTTCAATGTTGTCTTTTTGGTAAAACCGGGTTGAAATTACCCATACCAAAAGAGGCAATCCGAAAGTGCAGAACACGCTCTTTCATCATTAACCCTCCTTCCTCGCCAGCCACCCACTCTGTAATATGTTATTCTCTCTCTCTCTCTGTTGCCATCTCTGGTTTGTGGTTATCAAAGAACCAAAATCCGTTCAATAAATATCTTGCAACCAACACAGACACAATGGAGGGTTTTGAGTCTTCTTTTATTATTGACACTTTATCACCTCAAAAATTCATTTTCTGACGCCCAAGTTCTCCTAATTCCTCTCCTCTCTCGCACTCTCCCAAATCTTGCCTCAGCTTCAGCTCGCCAGCCATCTCGCTACTGTCCAATCCCGTTCTCCACCCATCCATCGTCATAACCTAGCTCTCCTCAAATTCAAAACCCTAGTTTGACCCTAACCAAGCCGCCGCAACTCACGACCTCCGTCGTCGACCTCCACCGTGAAGCCACAGTCGCGACCTCCATCGTCGTTCTCCACAGTGGTGAGTTCTGATATTGGTTTTGTACTCTCTGTCTGTTATAAATTCGTTGATCCCCCTTTCTTTATTATTGCAACAGTAGGGGCATTCATGGCGCCGCTCCAGCCTCATCTCCTTTGCTCTCTAACTGTTAGTTCTCTTCTTCTCCGTCTTCAAATTTCAGTACTCCTCCTGACCTGAACCACCTACTTCTCTGGTTCTCTTCATCTTCATGTCATTCAATTTCAATTTTTTTTTCCTTTCTAAATTCTACTTTTGGGGTTTAGGAATTAGGGATTCAGTTGGGCATTTAGAACTTAGGGATTAATTTTCAAAATTCTAATTTAGGGATTCATTCAATGCCTAATTTATGAGCTTTGGCTTTATGAATTATGAAGTAGACTACTTGTTTTTAATTGATCATTGGTAATGGTATTATTGTAGTTTTTAATTGATCTTTGCATATTTCAGATTTTAGCCTTACAATTTTAGTGGCTGGGCAGCTTGCAATTTTGTGTGGACAGGTTATTAAATTCTTTTAGTATTAATGGAAGTTGTGTTACTAAATTACCAGTACCTATGCTCTTGGTTGACATGGTTGTTATGAATTGTAAGATTAGCTTACTATTCGATGGACCCACTTGCTGATATTAGGAAATGGAGGTATTAATTGAAATGAATGGGAATCTGCTTGTTTCTTATGCTATTAGATTTTGTGTGAGTGTGATGCTAATCAGCCATTAAAATACACATATTTTGGTGTTAATATTTGAAGTATTGGAACATGGGAAAGTTGAAAACAGGCATCTTCATGAGATGCTTGAGCAAGATTTGAAGTATTGCAAGAGCATTAAGTAGACCTCCTTTGATATGGCTTGCTGTAGAATGTAACATATGGATCTAAATTCCTTGTTCTGAAGGTGCCCCTGTAGATTATTTGTTTCAAGTCATGATTCTCTTACACCTATATAGAAACATAGGATTGGTTTGTTTTTATTTTATCTGGAATTGTTTGTTTTTTAGAAAATGGAGAATATTGGACTGCTTCAGAAAATTGTGGTTGTTTTGTTCACTATTGCCTTCTTTAGGAAGCTTATATAAAGTACATGTGGAGCTTCTTAAGTCAGACAATTCCATATTGGCCCATTTTTTGCCAAACCATCTGCTGATTTTTTAATGGTTCTTGTTGTTCCTAATCATGTTCCCGTAATATCACTTTTTGCAGGGCCTTCATTGTGTCTGGAAGGTTGGTTCCAGCTAATGATGTTCTAGCTACACTGTATTCTCTACCAGATAAAGTGGTAGATACTGTCGGTATTACGTCATTGCCATATGAAGATTCTATATTTGAAAGGCGAAGGAAATTGGACTTCCTTCATATGCAGGAAGAACTGATGAAGGTTGGAATATTTTTTCTTTTATCTTGATAGCCTTATAGATATCTATTGGTGCTTTAGGAAGCTGCAGAACTAAACTTGCTAATCTGTATTTCATCAGGAGGAAAATAAGTGTGTATTTTGTTAAGCCAGTTTTGATGCATTTGTTTTGGACTTGGCTGAAATTCGGAATCCAAAAAATAAAAATAAAAAAAGGATGAGCAATCAAATAATAATGTTGAAAACAAAACTCCTGAAATCAATATTATGACTGTCATCCAGAGATTCTAAATTATTATATTGCAGAAGGAGGAAGAGAGAGAAAGAAGAGCAAGCCAAGATGAAGGAAATTAAAGCCAGTGAAGAGGATTTGGCATTGAAAGAGATGATTATTCCAACAGCAAAAGAAGCACGAGAACAAGCAAGGGCAAGGACACTAGAAAAGGAAGAGAAGATCTGCGAAATAAGTTGTGCATTGGCTGTTTTGGCTTCTGCATCTGTAAGGACTGGACTTAATAACTCTCAATGATTATGATTGTTGATTTTTCATTTTTCATTTTCCAAATTTTCAAGCACTATCATCTACACTATGGCTTAACAGTTTTTAATTTTTTCTGTTATTGACTCATTATTTCAGTCAGTTAGTAGGGAGCGTGAAGCGTTCCTGAGACTTGTCAATTTGGAGGTAATTTAAAACCCTTAATTACTCCTAGTTTATATTAGGTATCTATTAAGATGGAAGCATTTATCGTTGGTACCCTTACCATAGGTATGCATGGCATGCTAGTCTTCTCATGCTCGATATATGCAGACGCATTGGAGGTTTAACTGCTTACAGTTTATCAGGAGGACCGTACATCACAAATATTGTCTGCAGTTCTGATTTCCATGTTTCTGCTTGTACTGTGGATGTATTGGAAGAATTTGGATGTTGATGTCCACTATGCTTTGGCCCCTTTTAGTTTGAAGGATGTGTAGATTGACGACTTTTTAACTTTTAATGTGATTTACTTATGAGCTGTCTTCTACACATTATGTGAATGCATGCAACTCTGTCTTCAGCGTCATGTTCAAGTCAGAAGAATACTTCTGTATGTTCTTGTTTGAGTCCAAATGCATTGTCTTTGGGAATATTTTGCTTAAGTTGATTCTTTTGATCTTTCCAGATTGAACTTTACAATGGCATGGTGGAGAAAGAGGGTACAGATGGTGAAAAGGATGCCTTGAAGGCATATAAAGTTGCTCATGATGAAAGTGACAGTACTTCTGTTGAGGCTGAAGGTGACGAGGTTTCATCAGCGCTTATAGACAAGGTTATATATGAAATTCTGAATTATCTACTTTTAACTTACTTACCCCGTGTTCACTTGATGGATTATCGTATCTTCTATGTATCAGGTGGATGCAATGCTTCAAAACCTTGAGGCGGAAATTGATTATATATGCGCATATTGGTGATCTCTGGCAATTACTTGACTGGTGAACTCGTCTTGTTTCGTCTTTGGTTTTCTTTTCCTATGAGTTCTGTTAGAAATCGTACTTCCTACTGAATGGAAGCAATCCTTCTTTTCTTGTCTTTCAATCTGTAGTCGGTTTGAGTTGTTATTAAACTCATTTTGAGGGATACTAGTAATGTTAAACTTTGATGGATGGTACTGCATTGGAATTTTGTCCATGTAATTAAAGGTATGAGGTTTACAATATGTGTGCATGGATTTTGATGGGAAAGTAACTCCTAATGAGGTTGCAGTTGCTCCGAACTACTTGAATTATACTTTAGGCAAGGAGGGCATCCAAGAACTCATAGGCAACCTTTCCAAAGATAAAGGTGAGTGAATTTTGTTTACACCGTATATGTATAGGAATCTAAATCTAATATGATGATGATGATTTTTCCTTGAAGTTAATTTGATTGATTGATTCATGAAGATGATGATGATGATGAATGTTGTTATCTTTGTGTGTGACAGATGAGAAAAATCGTGTGGAAGATATTGTGAAATTGGGCAGCCGGACAGAAGATGCAAACCAAGCTGAAGATGAGGGATTAGGGAATAATATATATGAGTCACTGACTGACTTTATTCATGATATATATATATATATCTGAGACTCTGAAATGGTTGTGGAGTGGATTTGGTTAAATCCACTCTCTAGGTTTTGTTTTTCAATATACACGCAATGCAACAAACCAAAATTGTAT